TATTTCCGATAAATTTGTCGGGAAGCCGGAGCAATGCAGGCGGCAAACTCATCAGCGTGCCCCATCTTCGGCAAAATGCCACACACGGCTGGAATGCTTCTCGCTCGCTTCCTCCTGCGATATCAACAGATCAGCGCGGCTCTACGTGTTATTTTGCCATAGAAAGAAAAAAGGGGGCGGCGAGAAGAGAGACGGAGAGACGAACTGACAGCTCATTAATGGGGAAGACACTAGAATGTGGCATGAAACTATGAAGTAATCTCAGAATTCTCAGCTGCAAAAACGTTGTAGAAGAATGCGAACTTCTAAAATCGTGATTAATTGAATGCCTTTTTTAAATTTTATCATTGATTAAATGAATATAAAAATGATTCGTTTCAGCGCTTGAAATTTTAAAACAATAATTTTCAATCAAATTTAAAAACGTCATTGTCATGTACAAGTAAAAACATAATGTATATAATTAAATTAAATTATTTAAAATTTAATAAGAAGAAACATTTGCGATTTGTGTTCTTAAAGTTATTAAGTTACAGACCATTAAAAATCGAAGTTAATGCGTAATATTTAAGTAAAATAATATAATATGCTTGGTAAAAAGTTAAAAAAAAAACCGTTTGAAGTAACAATTTCAAATATAATATTTTAGTTAGAAATGTAATAAACAATTTCAATTTATTTTTTCACCTGTTGCAGCCATGCATTTTCACTTCACTATTATAAATTGTTTTGAAGGTTTCACCTTCCACCTTTCGAAATTTGTCAGCCAAAGGTAGGTGCCCATGATAACATAGAAATGCGACGCACCTGAGCGATCCAAATTCAATATCCTCCTGTATACAATGCACGGTGCGATAAGGAAGAAGGAACTCGGCAATTACGTGTCGTGTCGCTGATTTGAATTTTTCGACGCGTGCTTTTATTGGGAATGCGGGACAGCTGATGCGGATGACACTGACTCGATCGTCAAGTTCATCCTCGGCGGAAAAAAGGTGCGCGCGTGCCGCGTTCGTAATTAAAAGATATGCGGGTGGCGGCATCGCCCTTTCATGCGCCGCCGCCCGATAAGACCTGAATTCTAATAATATGCCTCGTTCATGCACCTGCACTTCCATGATTTACTTGCTCTTGGCATCATAATTGATGATTAAAAATTAGCACCGGTTTCAAAGAAGACAAATGATATAATTAACAATGATTGGAAAATATTATTTTTGTTATAAATTTAGTCCGAACTATGAATTAGAGTTACCAATTTTTTTTATAATTGAAAATAAATTACTTCTATTATTAACTAATGCACCCAGTACCAACTGACCGAGTTCAGCAACCAAGTGCTTACAAAATAAAATTAGTAATGACTCGTCTGAAAATACAAATTTAATTCTAAAAGATTTTTAGATTTTTAGAACTGTGTTGCTCATAAAGACATAGAGACATAATTTGGGGATTTTAATTATTTCAGTCTCATTTGAAAGTTTAACTATGAGTTTTCCAAATTAGCGAATTTGATAATTTTATAAATAAGAAATAATTCAGAAGTATAAGCATAATATTTGCACTTCATGTTTCAAAAAATCTGAGTTAAACTGTAAAAATAAGATTAATTTGTCAAGGAAAAAAATTATTAAATACGAGTTTGTTGCTTGCCATTATTTCTCATGGCATATTATAACTGATGTAAAAAAATATCTCCACACTAAAATATTTGTATCCTCTTCACAGACAGGTCCGAACAGCCATAAATATCCTGAGGGTCCTGTCCAAAGGTATTTCCGGCCGCCTGCCGATCTCCATCCAGCAACACATGACCCTTGCTTTTGCTTATGTTTCTCTTTCTCTCTCACGACTCATTCGCGTGATAATTTCGGCCAATTCGAATTTCCTGCGGCAATGCTAAAAAGGTCGAGAGAGCGTAAAATAAATGGTCTCGCACTGCTGTGGCGTGGGGTCCAGAAGCAGCTAATAGGGCGATTTTATTCTCTCTTGTCATGCACTTTGTGCGCGCGGACAGATGGTGTATAATAAAATGCGTGTGTGTGATGGTGGAGCTCCAAAAGGAGTAGCTCTCACTGCATTTGATGAGATTATAATTTGAAAGCACTGCATGTCTGTAATAAAAATAATACTCTTGCTTGCTTGTGGAGCGGCTCGTCGCTTATTGAGAGGGGAAATCATATTTTATATATTTTTCATGCTCTCATTCAAGCCAGTCGAGAGGGAAGATTGATGGTTGGGTGCGGATGCATCGTGTGTCGCACTTTTTGTGTGTGCATTCGGTGCAGATATTTAAATTGGAACGTATATATGGCTTCATTATCAGCTGGTGGCTAATTAAACAGAGTGCATAAATGTATTTCATGAAAGAAGATTAAAAATATTTTTAGCCAGCTCAAAAATATACCTGCATTCAGCCAAAATTAGTGATCAAAATTTAATTATGTTTTCGTAGAGGAAATATTAAATTAATTAATTTTTAGTTAAACTTTGCTTTAAATTAAGTTAAACTGAGAAAATTAAAGTGCACATCAAAAGCGTAGGATCGTTCTAAAAAAAGCATTATGCTAATTAATTACAACTGCTGATATTTTTAATAAAAAAACCATTCTCAATGTTGAAAGAATCCAAACAAGTGCGAAAAAGCATTAAATTTTTTGGTACCCTCATTCCTCGCGCACACCCTTAATCCTCTTGGTTGGCACTTTCCATTTCCTCAAATTTTAATCTGTGTCCGGCCGCGTCCGGCCGGTGCGAGGAAACCTTATGTGCACCCACACCATACCCACCCCACAAGTAATTCATTTCGATCACACATGCAGCACAAAATTCATCTGGACGAAAATTTAATTCCACAACAGAGGAAATCCGGATCGGAGCAAAAGCACGAGATAGTTTGTCTCTCGCGATGATAAGGGTACGTCCGCTCAAAGGTATTTGTTGAGCAAGGGTCACCTGAACACCACTTCCGCGTTTATGTGTCCGCTGTGCAAAGAGACGCAACTCATGCGTGTCCTTCCTCCAAGCACATAAGCCACGCTGATCAAAAATTTGTTGTTAATTATTTCACGATTATGGCGTCAAACAGCTGCGCGGACGCGGATCAGAAAATTTCCTCATTTTCACGCTCGGTGTTGCGCACCTTGCCATAATTAGTTCGTAATATATTGTATATTTTTTCCTATGAAGAGCCAGTTTACCTATAAATTAAGCAATGATTTTAACAAAAAAATTTTGCATTGAATTTATTATTTACAAAATCAACTATTTAATTTTTTTTTCTCAAACGGCCCAGTAGATTCCCTCCCTTGTTTTCTCATAAAAATTGATTATTAACCACGCGCATCTCACATTTTCGCGCAAAGTAATAGTCGCAGCGCAGACGAGTGCAATAAAAAACTCAATAAACGCCTCGACACGCATTTTCCGCGCTTGGCACTCTCTCGCCCTTTTCCTCCCTTGAGCGATTGCTATGCTTGCTCTCGTGACACAAAATTTATGCATATTTCCTCCCATCGAGCCGCACGCGCCGCACAACAAAGCGCGATGCATTGCAGCACGCGTCTCTATCGCAATTGTCCACATTTAAATGCACGCGGGGGGTGGTTTGATTCGCGTCGTCGGGCGGCAGCTGCCGAAGAGAGGAGCTAAACAATCGATCTCTGCTTTTTACGGCACGCGTGCATTTATTGGCAGAGTGACGACCGCAGAATAATGAGAGAGTTTCTCCATTGGTGCACGCACAACTCACTGAATCGCTTTTCGCATTTCGGAGCATTGCGATCGGCGGAATGAGCGTCGCTTAATGGGGCGCAACATCTGCTCTGGCAAACATCCCCCGAGCGCGAATCATCAAATGTCATCCCCCGAGCGCATCTCTTATTCTGTACCAGTATTTGTTTAAATGCAGCAAGGGTTGCAAATCCGTCTGCTTTGCGTCGCTTCCTGCACTCGGGGGTGGGAATTCACTTTCTCGTTCTGCTCCCTTCTGCGCGACGGCTATTAAATCGCGCGTTATTTGAAGTTCTTTAGTAGAATTTATTCCGGCCGGATTTGTGTCATGAATATGATCAGTTTTGATGTGGGAAAACATTAGCACCAAAGTGGGAGGCGTTTATTTTAATTTGACAAAGCGCGTTTGTTAAAAATTATTGATGCTTCTAAATAACATGACACAAATTATAATATTGTATTTAAGTACTAATATTTAAATGATCTTACTTAGTGCAGAGCGAAAATTTATTTATCAGATTTATCACATGTGAGTTAAATATGTTTGCAGAATCCCACTTTGTTCAGAATTATTGAAAAAAAATTCAATAAAAAATAACGATTTTACTTTTACCTTCTGATTTTTTTTGTATGCAAAATATTTTTATTTGAAATCTAGAGCATTAAGAAAGTTGATTTATTTGCCTGATTTTCACTAAATATATGGAAATGTGTCTTAATAACCTATTTTGTTTTAAATTTCCCATAAAAACCGGAATGCCAATTGTGTTCCCAATTTTTCTCGGTCAAAGATATACAAAAATTGCTGACAACTCCCACAAATAAAAAACAGAAAGCAGCTGCAAATGCAAAAATTGAAACCAACGGTCGTTCGCTCCTCATCAAATAATATCCCAGCAGCACAAAAACCAAACAAAGCTCGAGTTTTCCCGTAACGGCTGATTCGCTCTCCGTTCATTGCGTAGATAACCGTTATTTATATTAGAGCCGTGTTTTAGCGTGGGCAGCCAGCTCTTGGAATATGTACACGCAGCAAAATTACCCTATATATGCGCGTGCTTTATGGCAAAATAGCAGTCGGCCGAGTTGATGTATAATACGTATAATATTGTCGCACAGAGAGAGAGACACGCGGCGCGTTCATCTCTCTGCTGTGCGTGCGCGAACCAATGAGGGGCGGCGCGGGGAGGAGCTCCGGGCAAGGGTTGGCGCTCGGCGGGGTGGGGGACTGGCGGAGTCGAGGGCCCGGGTCGCTCCTCTGAATCATTGCCCTCGCAGAGCTCGAGGTGGCTGCGTCCGAGCGCAAGCAGCATGCCGAGAGGCTTCCTAGTCAAGCGGCAGCCGGAGCAGCCGGACCCCGGCTACCACAGCGACCACTCGGACGATGCGCCCACCGACCTGAGCAAGAAGTCCATCAGCCACCAGGTATTGCATCCTACGGCGGTCATCCACCCATACCCGCCGCCGGGTCTGTTCGCGCCCCATCTCCACCCCATGGTGGTCGAACGCCTGCAACACCACTTCTACCCTCCGAGCGAGCTCTACCCTGAGTATTACCATCTGTACCAACCCCTGAGGCCAGCCCAACCGGTAAAAACTTTAATTAATTGTTATTGTTACTTTAATTTTAGTAATTCTATTGCAAAAATTTCTTGCCTTGTCTTTTATTTTATATTTTTAATCGGGAATTATAAAGAAAACAAAATATAACTGACTGAAATCTGTATTGTGATTGAAAAATGATGGTTTCTTTGAAGGTTTGCCAGCCGGCCGGTTTGCTGCTTGACCTGACCATCAAGGCCAGCACCCCGATCACTCCTCCGGCCACTCCATCGCCCGTCAGCGCCGCCCAAACCACTTCCAACCCCAACTCTGGAGCCAAACGGAAGCTGGACACCCCCGGCAAGGCAACCGTGGCCACCAGTCCGAGCAAGAAGCACAAGGCGGCCACCAGGCGGCTGCACTTCGACGAGGACAAGAGCTCGCCAGTGTCCGGCACCATCATCAAGGAGCTGAACGCCGACGACCCGCCACTGGTCGTTCGCAAGGGTGACATTGACCCGGCCTTCAACGTCGTCGAGGTCACGGAAGAGGCCAAGGCCGATCTAGCCAAGATCGAGAACCGCATCGGTGACTATATCTGCAAGCTGTGCTGCGAGATGTACGATGACGCCTTCATGTTGGCGCAGCACCGGTGCTCGCGGATCGTTCATGTCGAGTACCGGTGTCCCGAGTGCGACAAGGTCTTCAACTGTCCCGCCAACCTGGCGTCGCACCGTCGATGGCACAAACCGCGTCAACCGCCAGCCGCAGGAGAGCCGGTCGATTTGGCCAGCAAGAAGGTGGCGTCCGCAGGGTCGGACAGTTCGTCCGAAACGGAAGACTCGGCGGAGCAGCAGTTCCCCTGTGATGTGTGCCACAAGCGCTTCCGGCGGCAGGCGTACCTGCGGAAGCACCAGGCCACCCACGGTCCTGCCGCCGTCGCCCCCGGACAGACGACCCTTTGCGCTCCGGTGCCGCATTTGTCCGCCTTCCAGCCGCTGATGAAGCAGGAGACGATGGTGCTGGCTGACTGACACAGGCACAACTACTGGACGGCGTTTTGGCACCACCAGCAGCAGCATTTATTCTGAGGTGAAGTCTTGGTTTTTTTAAATGAACATGCGCAAACTTTGCCTAGTCCCAATGTCTAGTCTTGATTTAATTTTTAATTAAGGGCCTATGATGCTAGTCACTGAATTGTTTCGCAACCGATGCTAGTCCCCGTAGTTTTAAGTAAGACACGAGTCTCTTTTACCTGATGCTAGTCAAATGCTTTAGTCGTATTTTTAGATAATTATGTTTAATATTCGTTTGTAAATGTTTTCTAGTCGATGTTTAAAAAATTAATTTTCTAGTCTTTTGTTGAAGTCATTTGAAAAAGCTTTCTTCAGATCTCTAAATTCTCAAATATTTATTCGAATTTATTAAATCTAGTCTACTTTTAATTAGGACCTTTGATCTCATGAAAAGTCTTTAGTTACAGAGTAAAGTTTTAGTCTTTTTCTAATCCGAAAAAAATATTTAAAATCTAGTCCCATTTAAAAGTCATTTAACATAATTTTAATTTCACCCTAGTTCAAATTACACAACTCTGATCTCATTTGCTTTTCTCATCATATTGGAAATTATCAATTATCATATCCCGATCTCAAAATGCAGTCATTGAAATTCCTCTAGTCCTATACTACGTCGTAATGTTAGCTTCATATCAGCATACGATCTCAAAATTTTGAAAATTATGGAATAAATAGTCACTCCTTGTCATTATTTTCTAGTCGAATTTTATTTCCTTTTTTATAATAGTCATTCTCTTGTCATTTTATCGAAGAAAAATCTAGTCCCTTGAATAAGATAATTTTTATAGTGCTCAAAATTTTCTGCTAGTCGTCATGTTCTTAAAATTCGTTTGAATATTTCCAGCTGATGTGCCAAAATTTCTTGTCATTTACATTTGAAAATCTTGAAATCTAGTCCTAAATTTAAAATTTTATCTCGCGGAAAGCGCCTGCAAAAAACCGCTCCACCACCTGCGGCATAGCAGTGCGCAACTGGTTGCATACATTTCCCGCACTCGCGGGCGCTTTCGCTGTTGTTATTTTATAGTAGAGGATTATTTAGTCAAAAACGATCCGTGCCAGAAAGAGGCGACCAAAGAGTTACAAAGAAGCCTATATATATAATAGTACTTTATTTATATTAAATCGTGTCTAGTCAGCTTTGATTTAATGAATTAAGTCTAGTCTTACAATTAAGTGCGGTACGTTAGCTTTAAAACTTTGAGTTCTTTTCTATTTGAGTTCAGTGGTTTTACGAGTTTCCGCTGAAAAAGCGAAAACGGAAAACCGTGGATCTAAGCTGCCATGACATTAATTTTAATTATCATGTGGTGGTAATGTTAGTTACCATGAATACTACACACTCTTCGTAAATACAGAACTTTGTATTGCTGTCAAGTGTAAATTAATGCATTTAACGTGTAATTACTCCTGCAATTGCTACTTAATTCGTTGCGAGTCATGTCCAATTGTGGGATGTGCCAGTCGTCTTTCAAAATAGTTGTAGGAAATTTATTTGATAAGATATATAATTTTGAGTGGACATTTTGACCTTTATTTCCGCCAGTTTTCAAGCGATGAGTTCTCTAGTCAAGAAACTTCAGTCAGTAGAGTTCAGCCAAAGTATCGGAATCATTTTCGTTACTTACAAATCAAGTGCTGATCATTGATCTCAGTCTGATGTCCCTAAATGTTTAAGCTTCTAGATGTAAACTTTTGCTGTTTAATTGATTGTAAAGGCCCGGACAAGAATTACCGTTAAAGTAATTTAATGCAAAATCGTCAAACTTATTGTAAATAATCAACACTCCTGCAAAAGGAGCTCTTGTTGTTTGTAATTATTGTGTAAATTTGAAAGGCTGTATAAAAAAACCAAGGCAAAAAAATACCAAGACTTCTCCTCTGATTGATAATGAGTTATTGTTCAAAATAATTATGCTAATTGTATCATGTTTGTGTAAATAATATTTATCTCACCATTAATGTGCTGTAGGAACTCTACAACCTCGAGTACGTTAATTATTTTGGAATACTTTCACGATTATTGCAATTGAATTGCTTTTGGATAACATTTAATTATATCTCTCAGTTTTTCACTTGTAATTATACTGTGTATGATTTTTTGATGAATTTTATATTTCATAAGGTTGTGTTGAATATTGTTTTACTGCATTTTTTTATAACATCGTGTTGATGCGTTTTCACTTTGTTTCTGTCCAAGATAAATTTAATTTTAACTTTGAATTATTTGTGTGCTGTCTCTTTTGAATAATAAATTGATGATTATTTTGTGTTTTTAGAGGAAAATAAAGCAAATCTCAATGTACACCTTATTGTTTTTTTCGCATTAAATTAAGACAAACGTTTTCATAAAAATTATTACAATACATAATTTATTTTACCTTTTTTTTAAATAAAAAAATAATACAAATTATTTATTTTCCATACACCATGAAAATGATATCCACTGAATAGAGAAAAAGAAATTACAAAATTAAAAAAACTTAAATAAACTTGCTATATCACCTGCTAACTTCAAGAGCTAACAATAAGAAGTGCTATCCTTAAATTGCCAAGAAGTAATTACTTTTTAATATAAGAGAGATGGATACGCGCAAACACAGCCGACCCCAAGGAGGCCGACCCGTTCCTAGGACCCGTTCTTGTTGGACCTGTGATTTCGGAGTACCACCTTAGGTGGCAGCACAGACCGATGATGGAACTATTATTTGACCGCCTTTTTTGGTGTTTGGAGAAAGTAAACACACAAAACGGAAGTTATTTAGTTAAAATTAGAGTCTTTTTTATGTTACAAAGTTATAATTACAACGGTATTATTATAAGAAGCGCAGATCAATTGATTCTTTCAATACGACACGAATTTCTATGTGACCAGAGCTGAAAATGGTAAGAATTTAGAATTATAACACATGAAAGTAAAAGTTACAAATTTACTTTTACATAGAGATTTATTTTGTCATCACAAAACCTCTAATTAAAGTTTACATATATTTTTTTTAACAAAATGCATATTTTACTTTATCAGGCTTCATTTTCAAATATGAAGAGCAAGACCAGAGGAAAAATCCGAGACATCAACAGTTTTGCCAAGCAGATCATCAGTGGAGGAGTTGTGCGTCCGAGAAGATTTTTACCTCGAATGTCTTTAACGTCTGCCTCGGATCTGTCATGCAGCTCGCCAAACGGCGCTCTCAAACCCAGCAGAACATCAAAAACTGATGTGAAGGCTGCATTGCAGGAGAATATTAAACTGACTACAATCAATTCTCAGCCCAGAGTGGTTATTAGGAGAATTATAGAAGAGTCTCCTGAGTTGTCTGATTCTGAGCAAGATGAGAAACCAAGCAGCAGCAATCGCCTGGTGCCAGCAAAGAAGGCGAAACTGGATTTGCAAGACACCAAAACAGCAATAAAACACACCAAAACAAAAGTTGATCTGAAACAAGAAAGCGTTCAACTGCATTCCTCGTCAATGTCCAGCACCTTACAAGAAGATGTTAGCAGTTGTCTGGGCAGACACAGGAACAGAATCAACCAATCCCTGAATGCCAGTTTCATTTCTCTTGGTAACATTAAGTTAAATGAGACGATGGCTTCCTTGCCAGAGGTTCGTCCAAAATATTAGTACGGATATTAAATAATTAAGAATTCTCTTTAGCCTAGCTGCCCCAAAAAGTACATTTATTTCCAATTACTTTGTTACATTTTTTTTTGTGAAACTTGAAATTTTTTCTGAAATCTATTAATGGCTGTAAATGATATTTTTAGTGGTTCTCGGAGGTCCAGAAGAAACGTTCGAAAGAGCCATCAGTAAGTTGAAAAATAAGTAGAAACTTGTAAAAACTAATTATGCAACTTCAAACAGCAAATTCAAGTAAAAATTGATTACAAAAGCAGTCCAGCAGATGCGCAGAAATGGGATTCCTTTGACAAAAAACTCATGCCTCCTCCCAGTGCTCCTTCAGAAAAGTTTTATGAGCAGAAAATCAGAATTCAAGACCAAAAGAATAGTAGCCATAAGATTAGCAACTGGTTTCTGGGCTTCTCTCCAAATGGCTGTGCTGTTATACAGGGTCTTGACAACGAGTAAGCTGTCGGATCTTTTGTTGTTCTGTCGACTGAAATTTTAAATCATTTTCAGCAGGAATAAAACTATAAAAACCACTGACATTGTGTCTGTGACAAACTTCAGGGAAGTCAAGACTGCAAGAAGTAGTTACATTTTGGTTGGCCCAATGGATGAGAAGAAGTGGAAGAAGCAGTTACCTCCTGGATATGAGCATCACTTTGTTGATGGCTTCCCTGAGAATTGGAGGGAAATCACTCATAAGATTAAAAGTGGTAAATGTATTTTGTAATTTTAATCAGTATGCTCTTATAATATGCCGACTCTAGATCTTAATTGCACTCTGACTGATGCACCCACCTCGCCTGAAAATGAATTCAGTTCTGATCGAAGACTTGGAAATGAACCAATGCAAGTCAAAAGCTTGAAATCAGTACATGAAGAGTTGTCCTCGGTCAACTATGTGTCATGGAATGAACGAGTGAAGAATAAACTGAGAACTGTTCAGTCAAAATCTGCAGTTCCTAACGCTCAAGTAGACCTGGATAATGTTTCTTTAAATGTAATTTTAGAAGATTTTATTATTATTTAAAAAATTTGCCATAAATTTTCTTTTATAGATGAAATTCTCTGACTCTGAATCAGACACTGAGCGTGCATCAAAGAAGTGTGCCCCTGAAGAGAGCATAGACGATGCCGAAATTGTCAGGTTAATAAAATGGAGACCAGCCAAGGTTGTCAACTGTGGAAAAGTTTCCTTTGTTTTAAGAGGATATATTATTGAGTAAGTTAATTTGGATTCTGCAATGCACAGCTAATAAATTTAAATTTTAGTGGAAAGGGCAGAGTGAAAAAAAGTGTAGAAATTCCTTTTGAAAATATTTCTCCAGAGAACTCAACTTCCTGCATTCTTAGGAGCATCGACAAACTCTTCGAGTATCATTTGATTGGCAAGCTATATGCTGATAGAAGTAAATAATTACTGTAAAATAGTTAAATATTTTCACGGCTTTCATTAATTTAGGCATGCCAGAGCACATGCGGAGGAAATTTGAAAGTGGTTTCCCTGACGAATACATGCACTACCTGCTACAGTGGGATGAAATGGACGAAAGTATTGAACTTGCAGGTGCCATGTCAAAGAGTAGATTTGGGAGAGCAGTGAATTTGCCTGTTAAGTTCCGAGGTGAATTTTTTTGATCAAGCTTATCCAGTCAGTTCACAATTCATAAAAGTTATAAATGTGGCAACTAAAAGAGCAATTTGCCTGGATGTAATGTTTTTTATCTACTTTTATAGATATTCAACAAGACATCTCGTCTGTTGAAGATGTTCAGTCTGGCAAGAAACAAAGAATCTTATCTAGGACCAACTTGCAGCAACCAGTATTACACGGTGGTAAAAGCTCATTTAAATTATTAATTATATCATTGCCGATTAAATTTTAGAAGGAGATGTGAACATTTTGGCGCTCAAAGGAAATACCTTGAAAGCTGCCAAGAAAAGGGCGGAAATTAAGAATAAGTTGAGGGCAGAAGTTACCACTCTGGATGTTGACTTTTTCCATCATGCATCAGAATTCGAGTCGCAAACAGAGGATGAATTTCCAGTGAGAATATACACCCTTACCAATGGGATTTAAATACCACATGATAATTTTTTTTCAGAATACAACAAAAAAGACTCCAATGCGCAAAAATAAACTCAATAGAATGCTCTCTCCCATGGCAGAATTTGCGAGTAAACAAGTAGAAGACGAGAAGCCAAGATCTGAATCTGAGGAGGAAGAATCAGTGAAGCCAAGAGACAAGAGGAAAGTGAAAACCTTTAAAAAGTTTGTCTATCATGAAGAAATGCAGCATTATACCAAACCAAAGGCAAATGAGCAGAAAAAAGTGCTCCCTAAAGTGGCAAAGTTTAGAAGTACAGACATTCGTTGCATGAAGGAATATCTTGAAAAAGAGCAGAGACGTAAGTGCCGGATTGACAACAAGCTGAAGTTGGGTGATAACTCGGATTTTTCTGAGGAAGAGGACTAAAATGTCTAAAATCTAGCGTTTTTCTTTTTGCTTAAAAAAGTTTTTCTGCGTGAAGTTATAATTTTTTTTATTCTGTTCATATAACAATAAATTTCAATCATATTGTACGTCATCTCGCAAAAGTTGCTTTCAAAAATCAGATAGACCGTATGCAACCCACAACTGGGTTAAAACTCTTGATTGGTGCTGCAGTTGCTTGGCAGTTTTTTAAGTGGCTCACAAATTAAAATAAAATGGCACCATCTCAAGCTGTGTCCGAGGAAGCAGGTTCTGCTTCAGACTCATCACTGGCAGATGCACCACGTCCCTTCTCAAGATCGTCTGAATCACTGAGTTGCAGAGCTGTGTGGGTGGGGTTTGCGGCAGCTCTGCTTGCGGTCAGCGCCAGTCTGTGCTCCAGGGGTGCCCACGGATCCTCAACCATCGAGTGTTTGTAGAAAAGTGAGACATCGCCCATAGGAGAGTTATGACTCACATTGCTTGGACCACCTCTCCGTTGAAACTGTGACATAAAGGAATTTTAATTTAAATCAATTCTGGATAATTTGTAACAATTAATGTTACCCTTCTCCTAGGCGAAAAGGAGTTTCTGTTGTTGTAGGGAGACATTCCAGGCCCAAACCCACTGTATTCACCAAAGTTGGCGCCTCCACTGTTGTTGTTGAAACTCATGTTGGACTGTTGATAAAAGCGCTGCTGCGAGTGCATCGTCCACTTTCCACGACCCCTGCCCCTAAACCTAGCATTTGGATTGGGACCAGGACTACTCGCACTTAATGGAATGAAGTCCACATTACTGCGGGGTGAACTTTTAAACAGCGGTGACATTGGACTGTCGGGCTGTGGCGCGTCGCCGCAGTATGAGTTCTCTGTGCTGCTCCACGGACCAGACTCGCTGTTTGACTGGGCACTCGTGATCGGAGAGTATTTCGCAAAGTTCGTGTTGAATTTGAAGCCAGATCCTGCAGGGTTGTTCTGTCGATTATTCTGGGCTCCTCTGCCAAAATTCGGACTCTGCAAGCCACTCATTTTTGTCACTCTCTGGGCACCAACCCAACCGATGTCATTCGTATTTCTAACTTTTGGACGTTCGGCTCACGGGGAAGGAGACGAATACTGCGGCAGCCTCTGATTCAACAATTTTTCAGTCTTGAATATTTATTTTGTGAATTGTGAATTTTACCTGGTTTTCAACTGCTGAAGCCATGACACTTTTTTTGGTTGCAAACAATCATTTATACCAACAAAAGCACAATATAATATTGACCTTTAATAACTTTGATTGAATTTATTTTACTTTAAGAAAATTATGTTTTCTTCAAGTAAATAAAATTATAACATTTTTAATTTCTCAAAATGCAGAATATGCAGAGTGATTCATAAGGCTAGTGGATTATGTCATAAGGTCAAAGGGTAAAGATGGTGGTACCTCCGTTTCATCCACTAACAGCAGAAAGAAACCACACCCCCTTGCTCAGACTTCAGCTGGACCTCAACAGAGATGGAAAAATTGCCCTGCTCTGCATGTTGCTTTGCTTCAGTTGCTTGCGATTTTACCACACATATGTAAAAGATCGGACTGCCCGCGTTCCTCCTTATCAACTACGTGACTTAAAAAAGGTTTCCAAAACAAGCATTTACCTCTAGAATGCTGATAAAGGTGAGGTGCGCTCGTAAAATTTGCCTATACATTCACATACGACTCGCGGCCAATGCTCTTTGATTTGCTGTCTGTTTCGGCTCTTTATGTTTTATATTTCCTTCCTTTCCAGTTCATACCTTTAAATGTCTGCTGCTAACACCCCAAATGCTCAAGGGGTGTATTCGCCTCTGCCCTACAGCGACTCCGAGTCCGAAGAGGAGGTTTTCAGCAAAGCTCCGCAGTTAACATCAAGAAATCATGAATTGCAGCAGCACAAGAAAACATCCCCATTGTATGTTCGCTCGCAGGCTACCCCAAATGGTAAGTAGTTTACGTTTTTATGTTTTAATGTGTGATTTTTTTATATTTATTAATTTTTTCTAGGTAAGCTTTCTAATGCAGAAAGTTCTTTGATGGCCGAATACAGACCCTTGAGCAACAGTGAAACATCCCTCAATGGCTTTTCAGACAAAGGAAGGGTGGTTCTGATAGCAAGTTCACCCAATGAAAATGCAAAATTTGAAAACCCATTCCCTAATTCTAAAGCAATTAATCAAAACGGTTGGGAGAGCATGTCTTATGCTCGAAAAATCTGCTTCCTCAGCTCGATATTTCTGTGCATATTCACCATCGTCGGGTTCTTGTGGATCTTGCCTTGTGATCTGGAATCTAATTGTAGTGCAAGTAGTGAATTTAAAGGAGACCACTCTCAACTCACAACACCAGGCTCTTGGGAGTCGGTTTTACAAGGAATTGGTAAAACAAAATCTGGAATATTATCATGGTGATTTGCTTACATTATAATTTGCAGAACTAACTGGGCCACCAACGTTTACTCAGGGTCGGCTTATCTTCACGGTTCGAGGGCCTCAACCTGCTGTAAGGAGTCTCACCTCTGGAGAACCCAGGTGGCACCAGCTTGGTTATGGGCCTTATCGTCCCGATAGAAGGAGTGGTGGACAGGCTGGAGGTGGTGCATTGGCACTGCTACCCACAACAGGGACTCTGTTGTGGACCATCATTATTCCTGGGGCAGCGCCAACTGCAGCAAATTGCGAGTTGCTCGATATGAATAACAACGGAAAGAGAGATTGCCTGTTGGCAAATTCAGACTGGATTTTGGCTGCAATTGATCCTATCAATGGTAGTTTTGAAATTATAAATTGCAAATTAATAAATTCAAATTCTTGTAGGAAAATTTTTATGGACGTTGGATGCGCAACGAGAAAACAGTTCAAGTAGAAATTCTTCTGATAGGTTAATGAAACCTCAACAGCTGAAACCTGCAAAAATTGTTTTTCCTCCTTTGGTAGTCCAAGACTTGGACGACGATGATGTCTCTGATCTTTTGGCCCTTGGAAGTCTTGTTACTGGGCGGAGGTAGCTTTTTAAATTGGTGTAATCTTCAAATATTAATTTTAAACTCTCTAAATATTGCAGTGCTGATTGTTTTGTACTGATTTCTGGCAAAACAGGCACCCTGATAGGGAAACTAGTAAACGTGAGTGGATGCGTTTCCATTAGCAAATTGGAGCTGAGTGAAGAGGGAAGCATGGAAAGTGTTCTTTTTGACTGCATGTATACTGTTGGAGGAGGTAATCAAAAATCAAGATGTCATTATTTGTTAAGATTATAAATAAAATGTAATTAGTTTCTGTAAGAAAAATGGACATCGGAGAAATTTATCTACGTGCCATTAATAAATCCAAGCAGGATTTAGCATCAGCACCACCTTTGCAAAAACGCCAGCAGCCCTACAGGTTTGTCGGCCTAATTTTTATTTTTCTCAGCATTCAATGTAACATTTTTACAGGGATCCAAGTGACCAGAATACAAACAATGGTCACTCGTATATTTTAGAGGCAGAAGGGCATTTTCTATCAATTGAAAATATTGGCACTTGTCCCAAGTGCAAATCAGTTTTGACCCTGACCGACGCTCAAAACAACACAGTTTGGGGGTATACAGGAAAGGGAGAACGAGCAATGTCGCCCGTATCATTGCACTTCTCTGGAGCTTCTTCACTAAGGTAAAAATATTTAGAAATGAAGTCTTGCCAGAAATAAAATTGTGAATTTGCAGCAATTCCGGAAACTCTGCTCACAAAAATGGATTTGTTTTCAAACTTTGGGTGTGGCCTCCCTCGGCTCCAAAGTCGAGCAAGGCTTCAAGAAAACCAAAAGATGAAGAACCTTACCATAAACTACTCAAAAGGAGTGATAACAATTACATTATTGACCACGGAGGGTGAGCAAGAGATACTTTGTCAATTTTATTTATATTAATTATGATGTCAATAGTGTTGAAGAAGGCAGTCCTAGTTTGAAAAATGACGTTGAGGTTCTCGAGTTGAAGGAAAGAGTAGTATTGATCACATTCAGTAGCTCTGACCTGCATGTTGTGAATGCCAGTCAAAGCAACATTGCTGTCCTTTGTGCCACAAACAAGCAGCGATACCGAAGTTCCTTTGAACCCGTTTGCCAGCCAGAATTAGCAGCCCAACAAAAATCTCGTATGATCATTTTCATTTTAAATTAAAAAAAAAATATGGTAATTTAAATTTTCTACTTAAAGTGTTGGTTGCTGATTTGGATGAGGATGGAACACAAGAATTAGTTTCCTTCACCTCCACGTACATCCCTATAACGGAGCCTGCCACGATGAGCAGCACAAACCATCCAAATAGAATTAGCGCTCCAATATCTCCTGCGATGACCTCGTGGGAGCTCATTTCGAAGATCAAAGTGATCCACCTTGAAACAGAGCTGTCTAAACTAAAGTAGTCCGAGCACGAGTTTGCATCATTGGTTAAATATTGCAAATCTAGTCACCTCAGTTATAATCCAGTCATTACTCAAATGCACAATGGATGATATTGTTTAGGATCTCTCAATGCCTTACAGTCAGACGACCTTAATAATTTTGTTTGTAAAGAATGTCTCTTGCAATGCCTTGTAAATATTGTATTAACTAACAAAATTAAATAATATGATGCAAATACACAATCGGGTCCATAAATTAATATGCTAGAAGGCTTTTTTATATTATCGGGAAGAACTATAGGGTGAAGTGCTAGTATTATATTGTTAAGTTTTGCTTGATCCTTTCCAAAATTTTGTGTAATTATCACATCGTTATATTCATTATTTAATTAACTCTATGTCATTTTCATGAAATACAGCTTCTACTAATACATTTGGTTTTTTAAATTGAGTTGTGAAATTGTGATTTTTATAAGTATTGATAAGCGATGTTCTTTTTATATTTAATATTTATGTTACTATACCTTATTACAATGCAATACATGTACCTTTCTGTTACTAATTATTTATTTTCTAAGGTTTAATAATTTTTTTAATTTAGATCCATGGTTGTAATTTTACTCCTGATATTGATTGATTTTATTTGTGAATATAAGGGTTCCTATTTTTACGGTTTGCCTTTGCCCTCCTATATTATGCAAATACAGCACAGCGCATGGAACAAGAACGGTTTTATTATTATTAATTTCACCAAATAAATGAATTAAAATTTAAAAAAAAAATTATTTAGCACGTATTCTACTTTTTTTTAAAATTAAAACTTACATTAAAAAAATTGACCGCAACCCGCTTTGGCTGCGTGTTGAGCACATAGCCTACCCTGTAGCCGTTCGCCAAGTTCACCAGCAGATCCGGACACTAGCGCCGCCACCGCGGCTGTCGCAAAAATCAATCATCTGTTCTCGTTTTCACGAACAGTGACAACGAGTGTGTATGTGTGTGTTTTTGATCGGCGAATTTCTCGCAGCGCAGCACCCTGAGCGTCGTCAGAGTCACCTTGCTAGCGCCGCAACTTCATCCGGACACGAGAGGACGGCGATAACGAGCCAACCACGGAGCATATCCGAAATATGGCCGCGAATCTGGATGAGGAGCAGAGTCTGCGGGAGTGCGAGGCCTACGTCCAGAGGCACAACATTCAGCAGACCCTGAAGGACTGCATCGTGCAGCTGTGCGTCAGCCGCCCGGAAAACCCTATCGCCTTCCTCAGGGAGTACTTTCAAAAGTTGGAGAGGGTGAGTGTTTTAATTAAATTTTACTGCCGCGCGAATGCAAATTGAATTAAAAAAAAATGAAAAGGGGGAGTGGCCGGTCACGGCGGCCACTGCTTTGTTTGGAGTGGCTGACCTCATTTGCGTTCATTACGAACGCACTTGTTCTTCTTGCTCGCACGTCTCATTATCCGCACGCAGGGCGCTCACTCGCTGGAGCACGACCCTTACTCGTCGGTTCGACCCCGCGTCCCACATTTCAAAAGAAATCGCGGTTCTTGCAACAGAGCTGAACGTCATCTTTCGAGACCGACAGAGATGATCATTTTGCGTTCCAATTGTTCCTCAATTAATAACTGAGGCACATCAGTGATTGGACTTGATTAAAGTTGGATGCGATTTAAATTGATTTGTTTTCTTGGTGTTTACATAATAAGCAAGAGATTGTCAAATAAATACTTGTTACGATAGAGCACTTAAAACTTTAAACAAAATGTTTTAAAATTAAAATTAATTTCTAACACACAAGGAGTTTATAAAAATTGACTTAATTGTGTTTTGAAAATATTATCTTCTATGATGAAATTCCTTAAAATTCCATACAATTTTTAATATAATTTCTGCTTGAAATTTTCAAGAAGTAATTTAATTTCATTGTTTAAGTTTGATAATATTGATGAATGATAAACCTTTTAAATTCTATGAAGTAGAGATATAATATGACGAATAGTTCAATATCACACTACATTTGTTAACTTATCAATTATTAATTTCATCTACTAGTAAAGCTCTAACGTTTTTATTTTAAAAATGACTGCTGATATGACGGCAGCTGTCAAATCTTGTCATTTATGCAAAACCCCGGTAATCATTACTGACGCGGTTGCTTGTCCAACCTGCTGCTTGTCTTGTTTGCACTTGACTTCACAGATCCGGCGATAATAATTAAAGAGTACGTCGCCCACGCTTATCAAATTAAAAAAAAAAACTCAATTCTGGCAGCGAAATCACGTTTTTATTACTTCTCCTCTGGTTGGGTTTCGCACTATATACTTACCGTAATTACAAGAAAATTGCCTTTTCCGGTCTAGCACAGGAAACTGCACTTTTACATTTGGCGCCTGCTAATTATATTTGCAGACGACCCAATTATTTGCAAACTGAGAAAGTCGAGCAGATGACGCTAGAATATTAAAGCGCCTTACTCTGCAATAAAATTGAATAAAATTACTAAAAATTTAAGACTAATAAAGTCTTGTCATAAGAAAAATATATTGTGGGAAATACTTTTTCCTGTCAAAAATGGAGAATATATTTTTTGCTAATGATTATTTTAATACTAAAGCAAACTCCAGAAAGAAAACGTTGAAGCTGTAAAAATGAAGATGAAAACTTATCGTTCTGGAAGGCTCTGGTTTAAATATTTTAAGCATTGTATAGCGATTTTAAATTTATCAAACGAATTAATTTCAGTACATAATTATGTTCAAGCTTAGTAATAATAAAATTAAGCTTAATAATTTATAAAAAGCTTCAGAATTTTTCTGATGCCACAGGAGGTCTTACTTTTAAGTCAAGCTCCACGTCTTTATAATTGACCACTTAAAATTTTGTTCAAATAAGTTGATTAAAAATAGTAAAATATTGAGATTTAATTTGTCATAATTTGCTTTCCTCCTTAGCTGCTCCATGGTCAATGATTAAATTAAATTTATAACAATTAAGATTAAAAATTACATATTGTATTTAAAAAATAATTGAATGGAGCTGCTTTTTAAAACAGAATGAATTTAAATTTAATTAATTCAAAATTGCATTGATTCCCGTTTTTCCGTTGTTTTGAAGATTTTTTGTGTGAATTGCGTCTTAAGAAGTTGCGGAAAACCCCATACACAAAAATTTATTACACAAATTGAGGATTGAATTGTTATTTAAACCGGACGTTGCGTCTGAAAATATCTGAATTTTGAAATCCTCTTTGCTAATTAAGAGGCCCATTCAACGTTTAGAGAGCCAGATTGATTCGCGAGCAGCAGCGCGTGGGCCGTTTACTCAGTTTCACACAGGCGTGGATATTATTGAATTTGCCCACGCACTTTTGGCCGGTGCCGTCGCCGTGTGCTCGGCATGATGAATTGTATACATACGTGTGTATTTATGAGCAGCGAGTGAGGCTCCATGGTAACCGTGACAACCTGCTGATAAAAGCTGCCCTGGCAAAGCACAAAGCTGGTTTGTGCCGCCAGCATCAGCAGCAAGCAGTGGGTCATGCCAACATGGGCAACGCGCTGCACGGGATGCTTTTGCGCTACCTCCGAAGGGCCCACAGACACTTCGCCCAACAGGTATTTATTTCATGTCCACTGAATTCCACGCTGCCGGGCGTGCTTTGTGTTGCGGCGCCGGTTGTTGTTCTCTGACAAACCCGATTTCGCGATCCTCGCAACAGGAAAAAGGGATGAAATCGAAATTAGCTCAGGCGATTATACCAAGCCTAACTCCTTAAATATTTTATCCTGGAGCCCCAGATGAAAAGTTTTCTTTAGCTTATTTCATCCCTGTTTGCTCTGGCGGAAAAATGAAATGTACAAAGTTTTAATTAATTAATTTACTCCATATTAATGTTAACTTCTTTTTATTACTTTTATTATGTTGCAAATAAAAATTTAACTCTCTAGTGAGAAAATTGCCCATTTTATTCTTTCATTGTAAATAATTTTTCAACAGAATAGCTCTAAATCAAATGCAAACGTAAATAAATAAGTCAAATCTAACTTATTTCAATTTTCTTTTGGACATCCTTTTTTAATAAATATAGATTTCAAATTTATTTATCAAATTTTCCACAATTGATTGTTCTGACTTGTTTGGAGAAAAATAAACAAATTGAAATTGAAATTGAAATTTTTACTTTCCGTTAAAATCTGCAATTTTCATGATAAAAAAACGTTTGATGATTAATCACATGAATAGAATCCAGGCAAATCCATAATTTTGCTTTTTCCATAGAATTTTTGAACCCAATAAACAAATTTCTGAAACTAGAATGTAGTCAAATTGAAAATGAATAGAATGTGTGTTGCGATGTCTCACTGGAAACAATTCAAAATAATCTGCTCGTTTGCTGCTTGCCAAAATGACAGTTGGTTGTCTTCTGGGCTGATTTGCAGCAAGCAATTTCCGAGATGGTTGTGACTGCGTCTGTCCCTCTTGGGACTTGCCCGGAAATTTGCCTCTCTTGTTTGGTGCGCGTCACACAATCAGAATTTGCTCACGCCCAAACAAGTACTTGATGTGATTAGCACTTCGTTTGCAAAAATCAATCCCACTGATTGCGTTTCACTGATATCATTTTATTACATGTCTACTAATTATAATAGTAAAATATACATAAAAATTAATAAAATATAAAAAATAATAAATAATACTTTTATAATTTTTTTTCTTAAAGAAAATAACAAATTTAAAAAAGAATTAAAGCACACATATTTTTATTGTGAATATCAGTCGCATTTACAAGTACAAAATGAAGACCATTTTACATCACAGTGCTATTATTTTGAATTTTTCCTCTCCTCCTCAAAATGCTGTAATCCTGCTGCAATCATAATTATACTCTTTTTATTTAACATGCACTTGACATGGCTTGTTCACAGCAAGACAAGTGTGTAATTCCCCTCACTCATATACATATTTGACAAGTACACCAGAACTGGATTTTGCAAATTGCTGTCTCGGCGTTAGTAACTAAAAAAATTGCCACATGCACTGTCAAGAAACTTAATCAATTAATCTGGTGCTGATGTGTAATAAATTTTTCTGTTTTTATTTCTCTCACGTACTGCAACAAAGTTTGGACAAAAAAAGGCAATACCAAGGCTAAAAACTTTACTGCCTGCAAGCGATCGAGTTATCGTCCGTGCTGGTGAATAATCAGTTTTCGCGAACGCCCGCTGTTGATACTGAAGTACTATACATGTATGCGCTTGCATCATCTCTTGTTTGACGGACGACGTGCCGACGTGTGTTATAACAGTTTTCGTTGTTTACCAGGAAAACTAATGCGTAGGGAAACAGTCGCGATTTACCACCGGGGGAGGCAAATATTGGAGGACACAACATGTCGTTATGCCGTATAATGCATAGTGAAATACCCCCTTTCAAGCCTTTTAAGTTCTCTGCGGGAGTAATTTTTTTTGTTTTTGACATATCTGTTTAAATCCATAAAAAATTTCCATTGCATCAATTTTAAATATAAGTAGCGAAATGATGATTGAAAATTTAATTCAATTTATTTTAAATGGAAACTCTTGCAAATTATTTATTGTAAATGTACTTATTTTCCAAAATTATTAGATGAAAACATATAAACATTAATATCACTTGAATTTTGTAATGATTTATTATTATTATTATATACTGTATATAATATAGCAATTTAAAACATAATTATTTATTAACCACGGCGGCCATACCTCTTTTGATGTTGGGCGTTTTAGTAGAAATCGCTATTTGTAAACTCTGCTCTTTTTTTTCAATTACAAGTTTTTTTATGTATTGACAGAAGAATAAATAATAATATATATGGTAATGTTAAATTTAAAATTTGGAGGTAAAATGACCCCCTCAGATATGGATTGTGATGAATTGGTCGTTTTTTTCTATGTTAACTTTTTTTTTAAATTTTATTTGAAAATATATTAAAATTGATATAGCTTGTAATTCAAATTGTGATGAAAATTTATTGCCAAGTAATAAATATGAAACAAGTTGAATAAAAATAAAAATTATTCCTTACAATTTGAAAGTAAATGAAAAATCCGTTAATTTATTCAATGGCAGTCAATTACAAGTTCATCAATACAGAACGACCTTGCCTTGCGCTCTTTTCATTCATCAGTTTCATCACTCTTGTCCCTATCAAGCGCAACCCTTGAATTGGTCATGCCACTTGTGTGTAAATCGTGCGGTCTCAGCAGGCGCGAAGGCGAAGGGCGATTGGTGCGATAACGCATGCAAGTCGG